TAATGTGTTTTTGGACGAATTTTCTTCCTTCTTGAGTATGTTTGCGTCGAATGTGTCTGAAGCAGGCTGCTGCAGCTTACTCGTGTTGGTTGCGGTTTCAGCAACTCGATCGCGCTCTGGGGCATAACCCCTCTCTCGGATGTGCGTCTGCCAAGTTTCCGCTTGTCTATGGCTGCATTTAGTTGAAATGCCCTCTCGGGACGAGGACGGAGATAAAATTCTGGCAGAATCACCGACCTTCTTTCTTTTCTCCGGACCATAACGACTCATTACGATCCAGAGAGAGAGAGAGAAAAAAAAGTCCCGCTTTTCTTCCCGACCACTGTGGCGAGTCAAGCTAGTCCATTTCAGAGCACCATTCTGGGATTATTCCACGTAATGCTACGCAACGCTTAGGAAATGAATTCGGGATTTCTGAGTATCCCGAGTTTTCTTCGTGGAAATCTGAAAAAAATATTTTTATTTAATCAGACTGAAAAAAAAGCATGATCGTCACATCATCGTGCAGAAACGTGACATTTTCGGGTTTTGATGGGGTCATGTTTTTCGTTTTACGAAGCCTATCGGTTCAAGTCATCGTTGATTTGTCGGCTATAAATGGAAATTCAAAAGAGGACTGATTTGAAATTCCAAGCAAAGCTCGAAGCGTGCATCACATTCCGTAATTTTCTTACAAAATTGCTTGCCTTTGGTATGTGATGTTCAGTAGGATGAAGTGATGTCCACAGCGATATTTTCAATACAACGGATTGTTTCTCAGGTCCTTGAAGACAAGATTGTTGGTACATGATCGACTCGTGTGCACCGAAATGATCCCTATCACGATTTATTCATAAATCCTCAGAATATCGCGCCGAGTGTCCATTTCTGGGATAACCTCTGAACATATTACTCTTTTTTTTCAATATATTTAAGGGGTTTTGCAAAAATTAACTTGTTCATATAGGAGCCAAAGCGAAGGCAATTTGCTGACTATCGGTCGAATCAGGCCAGTCGGAGTCGGGCTGAGTGCTGTCACTGTTGGAGTTCGGGGGAGGGGGGTTTGGGTCTTGTGTCCAGCTTCGGAAGGGTTCGATTTCCCCGGTTCCATTCTGTCCTTCGGCTGAAGCCCACGAATTTACACCCACGGTCTCTTCATTGATCTTTTCGGTAAATGCAAAGCCTGACCCCACTCCAAATTGGGCTGTTCATCTCAATGACACCTGTGGGGGAACTTATCTTACTTTGGAAATAGATTCAAGATACTCGTGTGTCTTCGGAACTGAATCCATGATATTGGCAAAAGTTGGGCGGCACCGCGCCATTTCGCAAAATTTACGAGGGTTTCTTCGAAAAATAAAACCATAGAAAAAAAGAAGCGTGAATCGTCTATTTTCGTACCCGATTCCAATATTTCAGCGGGAAAATTTTTTTCTCTGTGAAGGGGACCAGAAGAGAATTATTATTCTAGCGTTGTCGGAAGCTCGTTGAGACTAGAAGAGCAAGTATGCCCTCTCTTTATAGTCCGGGGAGCAGCTCTCGAAAGTTAGTTTTCGATATCGAGATGAGAAATACGAGCAAGAGGGACTCCGGAAAGATGTCTCATGCGAAAAAAAGGGAATATATATTGGAAGGATGTTCCATATCGCATTGAACTTCATGTGTAAGCTCTGCGAACTTCGGAATGGAATGGCGAAATCTGGTCCATGTTCGAGAAGAACTTTGGTGCGACGAAATCGTCTCCACTCCGACACAGCAAACATTTACACGCGGCACAGCGACAAGGAAAATACGTCTCTCGACTAAAAGGAGAGAAAATCTTTTCCTTGGAATCACGGAGAACCATTCCAACATCTTGTCACAGTAAAATTGGATAGAAAAAAAGTTTGAGGCTGTATGAAAGGAAACATACAGTATATGAAGTGTTTGCGCGAACGAGCGGAATTTGGTCCCGAATGAAGAAAAAGAATGAACGAAAATGCTTTGTAAACATTTTGACCCGTGCCCATGTGGGGATAAACTGCTATTTCCGGAAGTGCCTGGGTAAGTGTTTTCGGTCTCAGTCACGAGGCCAAAAGAAGCACACTGCAGATTTTTAATTCGCTCCGCATTTCGTATGGAATCGGGGTTCTGCGGGAGGATTAGAAATTTCAGTGAACTCAAACTAAATACAGATGTAATTACAGTTATTTCCTCGCTCATTAAGAAAATTGTCTTGCCTTGAGTGATTTCTATGCAGGTATTCAACATATCTTCTTCGTATCCTGACCAATTAGCTCGGATGGCCAAAATTCTTTACTTTAGGCTTTTTAAAAATAAGAAGAATGAAAATGCAGATTTCATGAGTCAAGCTGCATCCTAATACGTACCTACTTTTACGAGTACAATATTTTTATTATAGGTTGCTGCAGTATTCATAATTATTTTTAGTGGAATTATTCCAACTGGTTATGATCATCACGGGTTGCGAGTGCAGCCACTGTTCCTGCAGCTATGAAAATTACCACCGGTAAAAAACATTACTTGAAGCACGAAAATGTGTAAATTGTTGTTCCAATTGAGATGATTCCAATTAGTCAAACAAAAAAAACATGGCGATGAACAATCTTTTCTCGGAAGAGTTCTACTCTCGTGTGCCGCGAAGTGATCTCTCGTTATTTTTTTTAAGCGTTAATGTGGATATTCAAGGATAAGGACTTCTTTGAAAAAGTTTTCCTTGATACAATTTCATGTGAATATGTTCAAGGATATGAACTTTTTCGCGAAAACTTTCGGTTAATAAGATTTTCTATGCATTCCAAGAGGCGTGGTTCTTCGAAGTTTTGTGACCGCAGGACGTATACGAAGTTGGGTTCATCCAGTTGATAGGATCGCGAGATGTATCAAACGAGGCAACAGCAACAACAAAATGGCTTTCACAACTTCGTATAGGCTATTTTTTGTTGTTGTTGCCGATATTTGTAAAATATTAACTAAGAAGAAAGAAACTTGTATCCACCCTGCTCATCTTCAGTTGCTCCTTATATATACTCCTAGCATTAGTGTGCGGAATAAGGCAGCAACATATACAACATGCTCCTGAGAAATAAGACTTTCTTCAAGATACAACTCTTCTTCTGTCTTCATTTTATCTACGTGCTTTTTTATTTATTTTTTATTCGCCAGTCATGCCTAAAAGGGCCGGTGTCGTGTGGAGCGCGAATGCGAGTGAAAATAATCCGATATGAATCTCGACGCCTAGTTTCTTGTCCTTCCTCTGCAGATTTATTTCCCTTCTGTCGCACCTACGGATCCATGACGATGAATTGCACATGACGTGACCCCGCGTGGGTTCCCCGGGTTCCTTCCCTTTTAAAGATGGCCCCCGTGGCTATTCGAGACAACCCGGTCTCCAGGAACGTCCTTCGTCGCTTTACGGTACGGCTCAAGGCATATATTTTACTGATGAACGATCATGCGCATTATGACTACAGTCCATGAGAAAGACGTTGCTCGAGTGACGTCTTTCATTGTACAGTATCAGAAAAAGTGGGCTCATCTAAGCATCTTTGGTGCATCAATTATTTGACATATTTAATAAGAAGAAGACGAAGGTGATGCGAAAAATGTGAGCAGAGAAAATGTTCTGCTCTTCCGTCCTATATTATTGTTTGCCTAGTTTTCTTCCAAAATGGTGTTGAAATAGCCAAATATTAAAACACAAAAATTCTAGGAGCAAAAGAGCCTGCTCGTTTGGAAAAGGTAAAATGCGGAAGTATCGACTCTTAATTCCAGGAGGGAGAAAGGCCTCAGATGAAAAATTAGAATCAAGAAAAAGTTCTGCTCAACAGAATACACCAACTTCAAGAATCACAAAATACAAAGAAGCACTAAATGCAAAATGCATCTTACATGTAGGACACATTTATTATGATGCAATGTTCATATACTTTTTTTGGAGTTTAGACATTTCATTTTTTTTGAAGTAGACCATTATTGCTTACGTTTCTTTGATCAATTTATGATCATTCAATTCAGAGAATTTAAAGGTTCAAGCCGAGAAAAAAAGAAGCAAAATTCAGGTTGAAATATGGAGTATACAAAACATGCCAGAACAATGGGTGATAGTTGAAATTTTTGCTGGGCATCCTCTAATAAATTCCTTTTTTTTCTGGGAGCTTTTCGTCTGCCACCTGTTGGAATAATTTCAAGCTCAGTTCAATTTTCCGGCACAGTGGACCTAAAATAATTCGGAGTCCTCATACAGAAGCAGCCACATTTTCTTCACATGAAGCAATATCAAAAGCTGTTTTTGATTTCAATATAAATGAAACAATAGAAAAAAAGAATTGACCACGAGACGAATTCAGTCTTCAGTCCAGGCAGGAACATCATCGAACCTGGCGTTAATCCCCTTCAGGTTCTCCATGCCTTCAACAAAGATTTTCAGGCATTGTAAAACGTCTTCTCTCAGGGTTCTGATGGGATGCTGAACCCCAGCTTCAGTCAGCAATTGCACGGCTTCTTTGTAGAAAGAAGAATCTGTTTCAGAGCCCTCGCGGAAAATTTTGCTCAAAAGAGCGTTCGCTGCTCTGAGTGAGTCGCCAGTTTCCCTCATGCTCTCGTCCCACATTGTCAAAACGTCGACGAGTTTGAGTTTTATGACTTTGGCCAGCTTTTCCAGGGTTCTGGTTCGTTCAGAGACCCTCTCCACGCGCTTCTCCATCTTTAGGGCTTCTGCCTGATGAAAATGAAAATTATTTTAATAATTTTATATGTGTATTATAAAATTTAGCCCTTATTTTTTTAGAGCGATATAGAGCAAATAAACTGCACAATTTCATTGAAATCAACATTTTTTTGATTTCTCAGATGTCTGAAACAGAATCATGGAAAGCGGCGCAGGATGTGAAGCAATCTTCTGTAGTTTACAAGGCATTTGAAAACTTGGAGTCTAAGCTGACTTCGGATGATTCATTCATTCATGTGTTGCACACTCGCTTCCGAGTTGAAATTTGTCCATTGGAACTAAATTTTCAGGTTGAAAATAGTTGTTCTCGGAAGATTTTCAACGTTTGCACGTTAAAAAAGAATTTGATTTTAAATTATTCCTTTCCACGGCGCTGTCTTCACCCTATTTAAATCTGGATGAGAGGAAACATTTGAACATCCCAAAAAAGGAGGAAGTAATGGAGAAAATTATTTAAAAATTACGTGTAACACAAAACTGCCGAGTTGAAATTTTCCCCTGGAACTAAAGTTTCAGGCCTTAAATACTGGCTCTCAGAAGATTTTCATCTTGTATTTGCTCATTATTAAAAAAGTTGGCTTTGGAATATACACTCTCACGTCTCCGTCTACATCCGATTTAAATCTGAGTGAGGAAATTTTTTGAAAATCACAGAAAATTTTGAAGTAATCAAGAAATTATGTTTATATGGAATCCGCCATCAAGAGGCGTATACTCGTACAATATTCAAAATTACTTATATGAAACGAAAGCCTTGTGTATTTCATCAGATAGAAACGTAATCTTTGATAAATGTGAAAAACTAACAGTTCATTCCAATACTGTAATGTATTATGGACCGAAGTGAATTAATTTCGAAATTATGTCAATAACAATTAATGAAAGCATTACCTTCATGCACATGATGTGAGAAACGTCTGGATTCCGATTCAAGGTATGAAATTGCTCCACCTTGAACTTGAGCTTCTTTTCTCGTACTTTAAACAAAGCCTCTAAAGCTTCAACGTTGCTTTTCAATGAATCCAACATGACACAAGACACGTCATGAGGATTTGCGGTTTGCGTTCCTTCTGGAAAACTAGCCTTTGAAAATCAATAAATTGAATAAATTTTCGGAAATATTTTTTTTTAGAAAAAAGGAAGAGGAAAAACCTCAAGGTCTCGCTCAACGTCGAGTTTGTATTGCAATTCAAGTCGTTTGACTTCAGCATCAGCCCGAAGTCCGATATTTTTCTTTTCTCTTCGCAAAATATCACGTTTTAGCATGTTAATTTGATGATACCGCGTTGCTGCGATTTCGCGGAAAAATATCATAGGGTCTCCATCATCAGGCAATTCTTGCTCGTACACCACACCAATCGGCACCTGCATTCAGCAATCAAGACAAGAAGAAAATAATTTATATTCTTACAAATAATGATAAAGAAATCTCTTTAAATTTTCAAATTCATTCCCAAAATAACCTGGGACATCAGGATATGATATCAAGACATGGATGTGAATGTTTATTGATTGCCCATCTCATTATATTTTGTGCAGATTTTTGAATTTAGAAAGAAAGCAAATTCCTTCAGGAAATTGAGGCAGGCTTCATGCACAAGCGACATCTATTGGTAGAGAACTGAAATTTCGTTATCAGAAGAAGAGGAAGCAATTTACAGCATTTGCTCAACAATTTCAAAGATGAAATGTCGTTCAATTTACCGATTCATCCCCCGAATAACGAGGACATCAGAAAATGGAATTGAGGCGAAGATGTGAATTGAGTGTTCAGCTCATTTTTTGTTGCTCAAGTTTTATTCAGGAAATTGAGACATTTTTCATGCACTTTCAACATCTAGTGGTCAAGAAATAACTATCCCAGTGAACCTGAACTGCAAATGCTAGCTAGTGGCACCAAAAATGGCCTATCCTAGCAGTAGTTCATTTCTCTCTCAATTTATGTGGCTAACATCTGTTGGGTGTTTATCCATAAGATATTTCTCCAACCTTTTTGACAGGCTCTGAAATTCGAACGCCGACATCAGGACTCTCAGCAAGGTGTGAAATCAATTCCGAAGCTTGTGCTGCAATGACTGGCCCCAACGTTTTTTGCATTCGTTTCATTTCCCCCATATTTAATCTTGTGTCAATTGCTGAAAAACGCAAAAAAAACCAAATCTTGATGGAAAGTTACAATCGAATAACTTTAAATGGAGAATAACTGATGAAACATGACAGGGAAATTTTTGCTACTGTGCAAGGAAAAAGCCATAGAGAGAATTAGGAGAACAAACCAGCTTTAATCGCAGTAAGGACCGTTAATTATTGTACCTCTGGATGAATTATGATCTCTTCTTAGCCCTTCTGCAGCAAAGGGTTCTATCCCATCCCAGGAATAAGTCAGGGTTTTCAGTCAGGACTAAGTTCAGGAGTTTATATTGTAATTCAAGTCGTTTGACTTCAGCATCTGCCGGAAGTCCGATATTTTTAGGCATCATAATCTTATTAGAAATTCATCAACGAATTTTAAAAAGGCTCCGGCAACGTTTAAATATAAATTTGAAATACTGTAATGGAAAATGGATCCGCCCGAATATTTGCCTGGCATCTAAAGTCGTGCATAACTATAAATAAATAGACCAGAATAAACACAAATTGAAGTCAAATTTAATTGAAAAATTCCATGATCTTTTGTGCAACTTTTTTTATTCTCAAGCTCAAACTTTTTAGGGGATGCCTCAGATTAAAATACTGATATTTGTTTGGTTCACCCTGTAAAAGTCTTTTCTCAAGGTTTTTCCTCGTTTTTTGTTGTTGTTGCTTGAAATATTCTCGATTTTGTTGGAGCTGCAACTTATTGAGATAAGTTCAATTGAAACAAGTCCTGGAATCCTGAAATTGATAATGATTGACGAAGATGGAAAATAGCTTCTGTTATTTTTATCTTTGTCGAAAGAGTAGCTCGGATCCTTGATATTACTGTGCTTCGGAAATTGGACAGGTTTTAGCGAAGTCTCGTGATTTATATTGACAAGGCCTCTTCGAATGACGGCAACTCTCGTCAGAAATCCGACGTATTCAAGTACTCGTGGATTTCAAAACTAGAAAATCAATCAATGATTTCTCCCTGGTAATTTAATTTCTTTGCTTTTTCCGAGCAGTTGGGTCACCCCACTTGGCCAAAGCAAAGGGATCTCTCGTCGAAGAAACGCGGGAAAAGAAAGCGCAGCCAGAATGTTCCTTCATTGAAGCATTAACGCCGGCCTTATTTTTTCCACCCTTTCTTTGCTTTATCCCGCAACACCAGAACTTCTTGATTTGTATGGATCAATTCGCGCGGAATTATTCATGGCGGAGGCTGGTGAAGATGTGCGCAGCTTGTTCAGTACCCCGTCGCTGTCGGGCGAATCCTTTTCCTGTCGCTCTTTCTCTCTCTCTCTCTGGTGCTTTTGAAAGCCGCGGGAATGGGGAGGGAAGAGCTAAAACCTGGTCTGAGGACGAACAGGGATATTTCCTGATGCCCTGGGAAGGTCGCGGAAACGGCATCAGTTCCGGCGGCTGCTGACAATCGAGAGAACATTCTTTTTTTTTCTCGATCTTTCTGGAAGCGTGACGGGATGAATCGTTCAGGAGGCTGAGATTCCCATGTCACTTGTTTGTGATGTCCGGAATTGGGTTGAATTTCCATGCCTGTGAATACAGTACATGATTTCTTCCACCGAAATGGGTGTTTTTTGGTGTGACCAGGTTATTGATTTATGCGACAGCAACTGAAATTCGAGGAAACAAAATTGGATGTTGGAATGACAATAAATAATTGGCTTTGGATTTCTGTTTTTTTTTTTTTGGAGTCGTTGGAATTGAGCTGTACTGTACTTTGAAGGGGTGGGATTCAATATTGAGGCTGACATTCTATGGGTTAGTTGATGTAATGATCGTCCACATTTTTTGGATCGATTTATTGATCAACTGGACACCTGCTGAAAATTATAGAAGACGTCTTGGGTTTTTGATACAATACTTTTACTTCTATTGGATCTGTGCTAATTTTCCTAAGATCTGCTTTACTTGTGGTTGTTTTCTGTTGGTTTGCGTACTTGTATCAAAACAGGTCGGATCAGATGCGTTCATGTGTTGTGAGAGTAACTTTAGTCAAGAAGGCGCAATCGTGACATTCCCTCAAACATTGTTCGGCGCCGAAACGAGAATGAAACTACAGTAATTTCTTGATGTACGTCTCATAAAGAATAGAAAGAGATGCGGGAGAAATGATCAACTATAGTACAAGAATTTCCCCTGAAACCCCCATCATTCGATGGCAATTATGAGCATTTTTGGTTTCCAGATCGCCTTTGAGTCGACAACCTTTTGGGTGTCAAAATGATGAATCGCTGAGCTTCACTCGTTCGCGATCCTGACACACGGTACTTTCGGACCCATCTTGAAGATCCCGCCGAATCCTACCATTACATTGTGCTCAGGGATCTTCAAACTGCTTGAGACGGAAGCTTCCAAACGGAATCTCGTCTGCTGGGAAAGGTTTCCCGTGGGATTGGGATCTTGCTGCAAATCTGCTGCTTTTATTGCGACCTGGGTACAGCATGTGAAAAGCATAAGCCGCATCTTTCGGGGAAACCCCAGCAGGCTCTCATCACTTATTGTATCGTGTTTTATGCTTCGAGGGAAGTTTTTTTTTTAACTACGCCTTTGGTCATTAAACAACGCCATATCCTCGATTCAGTCATGTCTGTTTTCGTTTTTATTCCGTGCAGTTTTCAAATTGAGTGGGGTGCATTTTTGGCTGAATTTCTCTGTCGTGCTCCCTATTGTTAGGTGAATTTTATTCCTCAACTATCGTGAAATTTTCGGAGAAAATGCGCAAATCTTCGGGCATTGCACTTTTCACAAACTCCTTTACTTTGAAAACGCAATTAGACCCGATTTTAACTGGTTTTACGACCCGTGTAGAAAATTCAACGGCTCTTGAAGCTTCTTGAAAATATATTTTTCTATATTTGAAAACTTTTCATTGGGTGTAGGAAAAGAGACAGGAACGTGATTTGATTTTCCGGGCAGCACACGCAATTGCGTCCAACCAGTTTTATCTGCTGTAGTGTTGACTTTAGTAGAGGGTTCAGTAGAACCAATTTTCTCAGATCCTCTTTCGACTGGCCGCTGTTGATAGCATGGGCATAATGTTGATTCCGAGGGCTGAATGTTAACTTGAGACCGGCTGCGGAACTAAACTTGGACCAACTAGTCATTATAAACTTGATCTACGAGTGGGTTTCCCGGGTTCGGGTACATTTGAGCGTATCACAAAACGGATCTGTGATGATGGGTAGTGCGACGCATGAACCATTGAGCTCGTCTCAAAAGAGCGGAGTCTTTATAAAAAGAGCGATGGAACAACTGAAGAGCGACCGGGATCAAGTGACAGTCAATTAGGAGAAGCATCAGAAATTCTGTTCTTTCTTGAGCATGATATGTTCAGAGAAGCGTCAAAGTCGGCTATAGCATGACATTTTTAACTTCAAAATATCCCTTTGGGATACTCGATATCTGAGACAATACATTTCGAAAAAATACCGTTTTGGGTCATTGTTTATTTTCCTTATACGCCTTTTTTTAAATGCTGATTTTTGAGAAGATCTTTGAAAATTGCGTCTTAATTTCGAGTAAATAAAATGAATTCATTTTTTTTTATTCGAGCTGGGCAGCATTTCTATAAGATCCCGTGCGTAAAAAAAACGTTCATAAAGAAGAGGTGGACTGTTTTTATGAAGAAAAAAAAGTATTCTGTATAACAGAACACCGTGGTGGTAGAGATAATGGCCAGTTCCGGTGTAGCCATAAATCGGAGGTCGTTCTACTGCAGTCTGGAAATAGAGGGGGAAACGTGAAAAAGAACTCTTCAACAAAAACAAGGCTTACTACAGTTCTTGCGAAGGACCCGGGTGCCAGTCTTACCAGTGCCCTTTGCATAGGGGTAGCAAATATAGACTTCGCAGACTTGAGCTGGTCTTCTTTTTCCTACTTTCACCCCCAGTTGCCTGGGGGGGGGGGGGGGGGAGGGGGGTTCGTTTCGTAGACGATCCCGTTACTTTTCCGGTCTGTCCCTCTTTCCTTTCATTTTTTCTCCTCTCACTGAGAAAGTACGATACTGTGTTCAGGATTCAAGAAGAAAAAGCAGAAGAACGATGTCTGGAAAACGGCTTTTCCGGAAGTACGTGAGGCCCTTCCGCAACTTCTTTTGAAAAACTCTCCATTTTTTTTCTTTCGTATACCGTCCTTATACCCATGAAACTATGTGTGCAGTATCTGGAGAGTGATTTGGATCTGAGTGAAACGTGGTGAACCCGTATACATCCTTCGGGGATCGTTTGACCGGGTGGACAAGTGCATTTTCCTGTCACGACTTCCTAGCTGCCACCTGAGGCATGGAAGAGTTGAAGTGTTACAAAACTGACTTTTCCCTATTTACTCGTTATAAAATAAAAATACTGGTACGAGCTCACGTCATAAAACCTTAAATAAGATGCTTATGCTCGCAGAATCGTGGCCTCAGATGAGCCTTTCAAGAAAAGTTCAATTTGTCAAGTTAGGCAGCAATGAAAAGAAATTTCAAGATTCACCAATTGTTGGAATCGTTCCAATTTCTGTTAGGTTTTTATAATCTCCAAAGGGTTAAAAAAAGCACTAAAACTGCAAATTACCTGTTGGATAGAAAGAGGGTTAGCTTCGTTTTTATTCTCGAATCCTAATGTTTCAGCGTTTCCGAAAAAGTGAATCATTTTAGCATTCAGTTTTCAGAAATTTTTGCGTGGTAGTTGCATTTTTGTTGCACGGGCGTTCAGTTGCTTAAAATATTTGAATTTTTATTGAATCGGTGGAACGAATTTATTTTTTCCTATTCCGCATCACAGTAAATTGTAATTTACTAATATAGATTGTTCGATAGAATTGTTAGGTTTGGTTTGATGCGCTTTTCTCACTACACTGTCAGGCATCCGCACTTCGATAATACTTGTCACATAGATGTCGCTGGAATATCGACTTGGTTTATACTGTATCAAATTACCTCCGTTTAGATGAGGTCATGTTTGTGTATGCATATCAAGTATGCAGTTGGGTACTTATTCTCAATTCGTCAGATCACGCGACACCTGTCCAGAATTTATAAAAGCAAGATCAATATAAAGAGAGTCCAAGTTCATAGAACCGTCGTTAAATAGTCATGAAAATAATTTCGGAATAATCAATTCAATGTCTTTTTGGTTTCCCACCCGTTCTGCCATATGTATTGCATACGGGGGATTGGAAATGTGGGCTAGAATATTAGGGTAAATATGCAGCTTGACGCATCGTCGGCATAAAAGTGACGAATTTCCTTCAATGCCTTCCTGTGTAATGTCGAGTCTGAAGAACTCGAGAATGAGTACCGTATATTTGCTGCTGACTC